GTAGTTGTGGGCGGCCGGGCGCGGTGGCTCAAGCCTGTAATCCCAGCACTTTGGGAGGCCGAGATGGGTGGATCACGAGGTCAGGAGATCGAGACCATCCTGGCTAACCCCGTGAAACCCCGTCTCTACTAAAAAATACAAAAAACTAGCCGGGCGAGGTGGCGGGCACCTGCAGTCCCAGCTACTCGGGAGGCTGAGGCAGGAGAATGGCGTAAACCCGGGAGGCGGAGCTTGCAGTGAGCTGAGATCCGGCCACTGCACTCCAGCCTGGGCGACAGAGCGAGACTCTGTCTCAAAAAAAAAAAAAAAAAAAAAAAAAAAAAAAGTAGTTGTGGGCATACAGTAGGCTTTCAGTGACTTAAAAAATAACAGCAATCACATGTAGTGAGAAATAATTTTGTTCATGAGTAGTAAATATAAAAAGTATGACTGTCACTTAATCATATAGACTTGAGAAAATTGATCAATTTACACAAACTATAGATTCCTCATGAAAATATATAGGTATCAATTATTTTTCTGCCATATAATGTGGGTATTTTGAAAACTATAAAGCATTATGTATATGTTAGAGGTTCTTAAGTTTTATCAGTATCAGTAAATGATATTGACATTAAGAAAAGTGTTTTTGTTTATATCTATCTTTTAAAGTTTAATATGTAGCATCATATAGACCAAATATTGTGTGTTGGTCCTTATGACATCATAGGATGCGTCACAATCTTTTCATTTCTCTTGTAAAAAGAGTACAAAATAATGTTTCCACATGTCTCAACCAGTTAGAATTTGGTAAGTTAAAGGCATAGGAGAATTAGACTTCAGTTTCCATTGCATTGCAAATAAAACCTTTTCAAAGCTCCTAAGTCTTACTGTCCTTGAAAGTGGAATTGTCCAATGAACAAAGGTAAAACATGAATTTTAACAGTGAGTAAATGAGATTAAATAAATTAAGTAAATGAGATTAAGACTCTAAAAACACATCTTCAGGTCTGATTTCATGTGATTTTCAAGAGTATTCTACATGGAAATCTTTTATGTAACATGTATTTATGTAATTATGTAACACTTTATGTTATATATGTATTTTACATATTATGAGAATGAGACTGAGAGGGATTAAATTACTTGTCCAGTCACATAACCAATGAGTATTAGAGGTAGAACTTGAATCAAGGATATTAAATTCATAATCTTTTACTTTGAATTTAATTTTATGCTTTAGACTGCTGAGCCACTGAACTTGGTTTCCTTTCAAATAATCATAGTTCTTAACTTGTTACTTCCCTAACAAGTAGTTTTTTGAAAGAACTATTTGTGAACTATACATATGTACTTATTTTGTTTAAGCCACAAATTTCTGATATATATTTAAAATTATATACTAGTTATCATCAATACCATTATGATGATTGTCATTATCATTGAATGTATGGCGATATAATGGTGGACCAAAACATGTACTGTCTCTGTCCATTGCAAAGCTTGCTACATAAGCAAACAGTCATACACATGTATAAATACAATGATGATGAGCTCCTTGAGTCAGAGTTGGAGAGTACTATGAAGGCCTGTAATAGAGTTGTTAGAGTAATGCAGGTCAGGAAAGGTCTTCCAGAGATTTGAAAAATAGGGTGGTATTAACCAGACAAAGATGGGGGACATGAATACTTCATGAACAATACAGTAAGCATTAGGGACTAAGAAAAAAGACCAATATGGCTAGAGGGGAAGAAATGAAATGGTTAGTGGATGAGATGAGGAACAATGTAGGCATGGGCCAGACCATGTGGAACCTTTAGGTCATTAAGTAGTTTCCTTGCTCTACACAAATATCAATGGAGAGTCATAGTATTAACCAGGGGCTGTGACATAATCAGATTCTGATTTTGAACAAATCACTCTGGTTTCAGCATACGGGATGAGGTAATAGAAGACCAGCTGTTGGTTCAGGTAGATTAGTAAGAGGATGGCTGCAGCAGTACAGGCAAGAGATAAAGATATCTCAACTGGGGTCATGGAGGTTGAGATGGAGGGAAGTGGGAAGATTTGGGAGAAAAAATCAATAGGGATTGGTGAAGAACTAGATATGGTGGATGATGGAGATGATGCCTTGGCCTTTGGTTGGTAACAATGAAACAGACACAGTAGAATAGGAGTAGGAGTTGGAGGAATTATCAGAAGTTCGGTGTTGACATGAGTTTGAGGAGCTTTTGAGACATCCATTAGGAATTGTTTAGAAAGCAGTTGGATGTATAGGTTTGGGTAGAAATATACATTTCTGTGTCATGTGCATAAAATGATAATGGAAATTATATTACCGTAATATTTTCTAAGCGAGTGTAGTGCGAGAAGAGGAGACAGCCTAGAATATAGCCTTTAGGAAATACAACTTTTATAGGCCAGGTAGAAGAGGATATGCCTGCCAAGAAGACAGAACAGAAGGCAATCCAGGAGTGCACTGTGTCACAGGGTCAATAGAGGGAAGTGTTTCAAGGAGGAAGAAAAGGCCAATGACATTAGGTACCATGGAAATGTCAAGTAAGATGAGAACAGAAAAATGTCTTTTGGACTTAGTTACAAGAAATTCACTGGCAGACTTAGTGAGAGCTGTTTCTGTGGATTGATAGGGCTGGAATCCAAATTTAGGAGAGCTGAGAAGTAAAATGAGGAGGCTAAACTAGATCCTCTCTAATGTCCCTTACAACTCTACAATAATATAATGCTGTGATTTCATGCTGCTGGCCAGAGTCTCCTTTGTCACAGATTTCCTTACTCATCCTATTCCTGGTTAATAACACAACTCTTGTTAAAAGAAATTATTTGGCTGGGCATGGTGACTCACGCCTGTAATCCCAGCACTATGGGAGGCCGAGGCAGGCAAATCACAAGGTCAAGAGATCGAGACCATTCTGGCCAACATGGTGAAACCCCATCTCTATTAGAAATACAAAAATTAGCTGGGCATGGTGGTGCGTGATTGGAGTCCCAGCTACTTAGGAGGCTGAGGCAGGAAAATTGCTTGAACCCAGGAGGTGGAGGTTGCAGTGAGCCGAGATCACGCCACCGCACTCCAACCTGGTGACAGAGTGAGACTCCGTCTCGGGGGGCCAGGGGTGGGGGGAAGAAATTATTTACAAAGACTATATTACTTTAAGCATCATTACAACCTTAAACAAATTTGACAGAAATCATTTTCTTCTATCTTTATACCTATATTTTCTTTTAGAAATAATCTTGAACACAAAAAAAATCTTGTGCTATTTTTCCATGTATAACCAATTGAAGAAATATTTCCAGGAATTGATTTTATATATTTTTTTGGGTCAGGACAGCAGGGATAAAATCAGGTCTAGAGTTTCCATGTGGATGAATTTGGAAGTGAACAGATTTGAAGCTGCAGTCCAGGGATGTCTCACACTACACCATACTGTTTTTCTTTTAAATTGAATCATTTTCTCTAGGCTTTGAAAGTTAAGAAAACACATTTGAAGAATTGATTTTGTATGTAAATAGAATGCTTGGGCACACTGCATTTCATCTAAAAAGAGATTCCTATATTTTCACTGTCTTACTGGGATAGAAATCTTATGAAAGGGCATATAGACTCTTGCTACTCAAAGTGTGATCTGTGGACAAGCAGCATCAACTTCAGCTAGGAACTTCTCAGAAATGCAGAATTTCAGGCCCCACCCCAGACCTACTGGATCATAATCTGCATTTCAGCAAGATCCTCTGGTGATTTATATTAACATTAAAAGGTAAAAAGAACTTGCCATCTTTTTTCTCTGAATCTACTTCTTAAAAACATAGAATTCATTGTTACTCTACTATGATATTTAAACTGATCCAAAGTTTGTCATTTATGGAATAAAAATTAATCATATTATTTTGTTTTAAAATTAAGACCTCCGGTAAAGTGCATAGGTGACTAACAAGGAATATTTCACAAAAAAATAGGTTACTCTCCTAGCTTATAGTAGGACATGCGCTTTTTTATTTCCCCTTCCCAGAAGCTGCTAATTATCCGCATTCGACTATCTACCCTTCCTCTTTTTTATTAATAATAATATTTGTAATTTTAATTTGAAATAGCAGGGCTACTTGTCATACTTTTGTACAGATTTATGAACTTCATTATTTTCAGTCCCTTTAGCCAATTTAGGAGAATACCATATGCACTTTATTACATGACTGTTCCCAGTGATTAACATCTGGAATGGGCAGATGAACTAAACTCCCAGTTGCACTTTTCCTTGCTCCATTTCTAACATGGAGCCCTGCTCTAACCGTTAACCATGGCAAGAAAAGATTGCTACTGCCCCCTGCCGGCCCATTGTCTCATTTCCTTTTCTACAAATCTGTGACTTGAGGATGCCCAAGGATTTTGAGCCACTGAAGAAAGCTCAGTTGGAAGGGGCTTTCCCTAGTAGAGAGGTAGAGCGATCCTTTGGGAATAGGCGGCTAAAATCAAATGAAAACATTAAAAAGGCGAGGAAGGCATAAAGGACTTCTAAATTAAATTATCGATCTTCATGAACCTTTTTCTGCACACGGGCTTCTCTGTGCCAAGGAAATGTTTCCTTCTCTTCAGCACAGGACTCCTCTTTTGCCTCTGGCTTCCACTTACAAAGAGTGAACTGTCCACACCCTTATTATAATTTCAGTACTCTGAATCCTGTTCTCTGTTTCCCTCAATTTCGTTTTCCCACGATTAAACCTTATTCCCTTTTCTGTTTCAAACTCACGTCCCGCCCACCCACCGACAGGCTAGCATTTCCAGGAGCTCAGACCCCACTTCCCTCACCCTCTCCAGACCTCTGTTCTCCTCTTGCTGTCATCGTACCCCCTTCAGTACCCCCTCGCTGAATGGCTACTCTTTGCCTTCGAACAGCAGGCACGTCCCCTCTTGAATGCTTTTCCCGGACCCCCGCCCCAAGCAACTGAAAAAGGAAACATGCGCACTTCAGAGCTTGGAGCTGTCCGAGTGCTGAAATTTATAGGCTGGGTAAGATCACGTCTCCGTCTCTTTCTATAGCCCTCATTCCAGCACAGGATCTCAGCAATTTTTCTCTCTTTCCCCCACCCACTCCAGCGCGCAGAGTCCTTTCTTCTCTCTCATTTGCAACTTCTTTTTAATAGGAAACATTTTCTAGAAAAAGGGCTTTGCTAAACAGAAAAGATATAAAACAAAAGCCACAGCTATCTAGCATGGCATTGTCACCAACTCCCTTTGCATGGTGATGCGATTAAGGTAGAAGCATTTTTATTATTCAGGAAAAGGAGCTGGGGGATTCATCAGTTCTGAGGCTTTGTCTTTCTGGGTTAGCTGATGGTCCCAAGCCTCGGTTTGACCTGACCATGATGCCCAGGACTGGCACTTTTTCTTTTTTCTCAGCAAACTGTACAAAACCAAATCTCTTTTTGATTTTCAAGGAAACTAGGTTCCTGCCAAATTTTGAATCTGGACAGTAAAGAGATACTTTGTCCTAGCATCTTTCTGGAATCATTTCGGGATATTTTCCACAAGCAACACAGAAACAGGAATGAACCGGCAGCTAGTGAACATTTTGACAGCCTTGTTTGCATTTTTCTTAGAGACAAACCACTTCAGGTAGGTGAAACGACTTTGCATGTTGATATTTAAATTGTTTAAAAGAGAATGTGTCATGTAATTGTTATGTATTTCTCTGTGCCCTGGACTATATTATTTTAATTTTATAGAGGAAAGTTATATATATTTTGTTCATTTTAAGAGCCTAATAATAGTGGGAGGGTGGTAAATTTTCACAAAAGCAAGTTTTATGATGCATAGCCGCACTCTATGCAATTCAACACACATTTTCACAGCCAATGTGATATTAAGGTAGTCTGATGAGTTGCATGCTCTTTACATTTCTATATAAGGGTGATATTTTTGCTTTCAAATTTTTCTGAAAGTAATTTAAAGGGATATTGGGTGCAGTGTTTTTCATATAAGATGATTATATTAATTTGGCAGGAGCATGCTCATTTTAGATAAAATATAAAAGATCCCTAATTCTCAGCCAACTTGAGACTTCTATTATATTTCAGAAACTGGAGGCATACTATGAGGATTACAATTTAGGAATTTTCTTGAAATATCAAAAATTTCTTTTTACTACTATATTCTACTATTCAATCTGTTTGGAAATTGATTGCCTACCAAAATTTAATTAATATGACATAATTGTATTTATGTACGTATGAGAAGTGGAGTATGCATAATTAAAGTGAGAAATTACTATTTTCATGCTTGCATTTTCTACATAGTTTGCGAATAGTTATCAAATCAATTGATACCTCAAAATATCAAATCATTACCAGTAAGTAATATAGTCATCTAATGACAGAGAGTAAAAGACTCAGCAGAGACAGGAGATGCTCTTACAACAAAGTATAGGACTCTAAATTTAATTTTCATTAAATTTTATGGCATTTTTTCACAGAACCAAGATAAATGGAACACATAGTAATAATGCTATGAATACCGGGAAAACCCACTATGTTCCTTTCAGGTTTACACCTCCTACTATGATTAAGAAAAAATATAGGCTGGTTTTTATTAGAATCATCATCATCATCATCATCATCATCATCATCATCCTCACCACCACCACCATCATAATCAAATAATACTTGATTAATCAGATGATTCTGCATATGAGAATGTGAGTATTTATGCATGATCATATCAATTTTTAACTCCTACAAAATATTTATATCATCTTTGCACTTATTTTGAATACCCCTTCTTTGAAAAACGGGCAAGAATGTGGTATTTTCTTAGTGATAGAATTCAGAAGACACTATTTGTTAAACTATTGAAAACAAAGCTTATAAAATATATAGTTTAGGGAAGAAATTTCAGTTAACCACTATGTATTGTGAAATAATTAATTTTGCTACAAAGCAAATACGCTATGTGTAATAAGCTCTTTATTACTTTTAACAGGAAAATGAAAATCTGAGAAATTTTTAACCAACTTTCAGTGTTTTGGTGATAAAAAGTCAAAATGATTTAGAAGTGTGTTTTCATTAATATTTTTTAGAGAGCCAACAATTTAAATGCTTATATATAAATAACTGATAAAATAATAGAAGTCACATACATGCTCACTGTTGACCTATTTTAAAATGAAATGAAATGTCCAAATGAAGGTTCTCTTTTAGATATCACATTGAAAAATATTAATAGTTGATAGTTGGATTAGAACTAGCAGATGGGAAAATAAGCAATGAAATAATAAGTTTGTTCTGCCCATCTTATTGTATATTTCTTATAAAAAGTAGAGGACTTATATTTAGGGCTGAAATGCTGAAACAATTTTTTAAGTCAGATAGAAATGATTTTAAGACAATCACACGAATTGAAAAAACATCTCATTTTTCTGAATAGTTTTAACTATATATACATAAAATCTACAACCTAAAACTACATTGTCTGTTCTCAAACATCTTATGGTTAAAGTTTGGAAACTTGAGAGATGTGACTCAGGATTTATAGTTCCCATCATTTAAAGTTAACTTTAGAACATGTACAAGTTCAGAAGTTGGCCAAAGAGTTTGGATTTTTCTAGTTTTCTTCATACTAACATATCAAATATCTTTACCAAAATGTAATGTTAAAAATGCAGTGAGCATTAGTTCTTAAGGGATGCAAATGAAATTGTTGCTAAAAGAGTTAATGATGTGTTTAGGACGGCTTTCTGCAAAGACCATGACTCCAGGTCTGGAAAACAACCTTCACAGACCCTATCTCCTTCAGATTTCTTGGACAAGTTAATGGGAAGGACATCAGGATATGATGCAAGAATCAGGCCAAATTTTAAAGGTAGGTTCCACTTAAACTTACATTAAGCCTTTGAGAAATCTTCTAGATGTTTGAATAGTTAACTGAAAAACATTTTCAGAGCTTTTAATTAAAATGACAAGTATAGTGTTCATTTTGCTGTTATTTTGCACCAGTTACTGATATTTTCATTTTACCTGTCACTTCCCACATTTGAAAACTTTCCTAGTTTGTGTTCTATTTCACGAATAAAACTAGTGTCATAAATTATGGCCATAGTCCCTATTTTTTCGTAAGTGGGAATGTGGCTGAAAGTGAATACAAGAGCAAGTGACAGACTTGACTTGCTTGAATATCTACCAGGATGCATGCAAGTTTCAATGGTTACTCCAAAATATTTGGTTTTGATTTTAAATACCTACATCAAAGTAGAGTTTAAATCTCTATAAAATATGCCACTTTACATACTTTCAGGCCTCTTTAATTTTTAGACTTTGTAAGAAGAGGTTCTAATTTTTTGTTCCCTTTTGTTTAAGTATTCTCATTGTTTATTTGAAATTGTTTATTTGAAATCAACAGAGATCACAGAATTGTAAAGTGCACACGTCAAAGATGGTGGATACTTTCTTTGTTCAATTAGAAGCAAACCAATGTTTTTTGTTTTTATTTGTTGAACATTACAAAAATGTAGTTAATAGTCTGCAGAAATGCTTTTTAAATATATTTAGTTTATTTTTATTCTGAATCAGAAAAAAACGAATAAGAATCAATTATTAATAATTGAATCATGTTGATGCTTTAATTTTTAAATACATAGTTTAAGTGATGTTGTCTTTTTCTTGTAATGAAATTTAACATAATGCATTGTGAAGTGTTTATAACATTTTGTAAAAGGAGAAACCTATAATGTTCTGGATATTATATAGCAATTCATGCATTGCTTACTTTTGTTTATTGGCAATTTAATGGCACACTTTTCTTCAGTATTGATTAATTTGTATTATTGGCAAATATAAGCATGAAAACTAAATTTTAAATTCATTTCTTCTTTAAATGTTACACCTCTGAGTATACCCAGCTATGAGCATATTTTATAAAGAAATATGTCAGAATTTTGGCGAAACAGTATTTTTTAAGTATCTCCAAGAGAGACAACTGAACTACATTCAGAGAAGTTTTTCTGAAAAAAAAAATCTTCATGTTCATCCCATTTCTTAATTTTTTGGTCATTGCTTTGGAAGTCAGTATTTGAAATAAAATCTTGTGAATAACAAACTGAGAACCAGCTTTCAATGGGATTGCTCGTTCATATATTTATCCACTAAGCCACTCAACAACTTTTGAGTCTGGATTATCTGCAGAATACTAACTGTTGGGTGCTCTGTAAAATTGGGAGATGAAACAGTTTAGGTGCTTTTATCAAAAATTTTAGTGGAGGGAGGAGATGTTACATGCATACTTTTACTATTAGATAGAAATAGGAAAATACCATTAGGAAATATAGGTAAATTGCTACAGGATTTCAAGAAATGGAAAGATAATTTCCTATTAAGATATTCATGGAAAGCTTTATAGAGAAGGTTCAGAGATGGAAAATTGTTTCACGTTTACAAGCATCTTGTTTCATAGCTGTTATTCATTTCTTTCTAAAAATACTGTTTCAAAAGGGCAGGAAAGTGCAAAGGGTAATAAAACAAACACGCATGTTGACATTGCTACTTTAAGTGACCACACAAGAATGAGCCATCGTTTCCACGTCCAATTTTTTCCTGGTTCTTCTGGGGATATCACCTTTGGGAAATGATATCTATCATGGTTCCAAAGGATAAATAAATGAGGAGAATGTCAGGTTCAGCAAAGTGTGGCCACGTTTTTTTTTTTTTCGATGTATCTACTACTTAAAAGTCTAAGTACAGGATATTTTAATGACTTATAAAAAAGAAATGGGGCGGATATCACAGAAGACTCTAACGTTAGTGGGCTTCATTGAGTTTTATCTCCATCTCCCTTTAACTCTTCACTTCAATGAACACTGCTACCTCTTCATAAAATTTATTTACATAGACCATTTATATCAGATCAATTATCTGACATCTCCCAAAGTTCTCTTCATTTGGGGGAGCTTGGTTATTCCTGGATTTAAAACACTCCCCATTATTTTAGACTAAAATAATTTTTTCTTGAAGTTCCCGTGGAATTTTAAATGTCTAATATCCTTCTACATATTTATATTTTATCAATCCACTCCCACACCACATCTGAGAGGGCAGGGAAGTACCTTATTTTATATATACATACACACATAAAATATTGGTAGTGTAGGGAAAATAAGTTATCCTTTTCTCCAGGATAAGGAAATTAGAACAAAGACAGAGAGGAAAAGGTAGATCAATTATGAAGATTAGTGCTTCCAACTAGTTGTTGTAGTAGAATGTGAGGGTGGTAACTTTTGAGAGACCAACCAGTAGTCATAGTGGCAAGCAAAGATGATCTTAGCTGAGGTGAAGAGAAGGAAAGAGAAGACAGAGAAAATAGGGAACTTGTAACAAGGAGGAGGCTTAGATAAACACTATAATACTTACCATAGTTGATTAGTAATGTATCAATGAGGAATTTAATATAGTCAGTAGAAATGAAAGAGATTAGGAAATGTGATTGCATATAGAATAGTGACAGTCTCCCTGTAACTGTGAAAAAGCAATTGTCTGTGATAGCTATAAACATGATACTGATGAAGATGTTGACAATTAAAATAACGGTGACTGATAAGAAGATAGAAGGGCAAAATTTGACCACCAGAATAAAATCAAGAGCCAAATATGGGCCACTGAGGTAAACAGAATGGTTATTCTAGAATTCTTATTAAATATTAGCATATTTCTCTGTTTACCTTGCTACCCTGCATTGGCAAGGGCAAAAGAAATGCATACATATAATTTTTCTTATTGGAAAGAATTTTTCCTGTATACATTTAAGTCAGTAAAATATCGCATGTCTATTCCATATCCCTGATGGGCTTTGAAAGATGTCATAATGGGCATATATATAAGAAGGAAAAATGGATGTAAGCTAGAAAAGATAACTACCAGAAATGATTCAGACTTAGACTCTGTAATTGAGAGATATTCTTAGAAACTACAGGGAAAAAAAACAGCTTTTCTGATGTGTTGAAGCACAAGTGTATAAACAAAGTCATGAGTCAGAGTTGTCAATTGAATTTTATCTATAAGATCCATAGAGACCTGTTTCAGATCTTGTCAAAACATACATTCAGTGAAAATCCTCAATTCAGATAAAAACACAAGCTACATCCATTCACAATTACCTGGTTCTGAAACCATGGTAAATGTTGATTCTATATCAAGAGATGAGCCTCTTTCCCCACTTAGGTGATTTGTCTCATTTTCAGTTGATTTATCATGGTGTTATTCCATCATCCTATCAGATATTCTTCTGTCAGCATTATTGTATCTTGAAAATGCACTTTAAACATTAGGCATTTAATGAAATGTTCAAATCTGGGCAAAATGCATTAGTTCTGTTTCTTTCTTTTTGAAACAAAGCCTTTATGTGTTTTAATGAAATTTTCTTTGAAAATAAAATTAACTTAGCGTTACATCCTAGTTTTCATCCCAATGTGAATAAATACATTTCACTAAAACATTCTTTTTGGGATAGAATCTAGAGTAGATAATGCCAGGAGATAATTATTCATTCCACTTCTTTGTGCCTGCCATGCACACTATTTTTTCCCACATCTAGAGACCTAAGTTGGAAAGTGTAATGTGTGACATTAAAACCTACATTTGCCTGAAATATGTTTTTCTGCAATTTCCAAAGAGCTAGCAGCTCAAGAGGTGTTTCAAGTATCATAGATCCACTTCCATGAAACCAGAGGTCTTCAGATTTTGCCCCTTGAAAATGATCATGTCTGTAGCCAAGTGGAGCTAAAGTTCAAATGTTGTGAATACCAATCCCTATAGAAGGTGCTTGAGCACAAGCGTCCAGCGGGGACACTTGGAAAGGGTGCTTCTTTCAGTTAGTGATAATGCAACCCCATCATCGCCATTTCTTTGATCAGCCTGGTGGGCATCAGACATTACTATGGAACCTGAGAAAGAAGACCAAAATGCTTGCAAGTATCAGAAGCATTGTGCCTGAGTGCAGAAAGTAGCAGAAGCCTCCAGGCACCTGAAAAAGTAACTTCATGGTCATGCTGACATTGTGGTTTTATTAGGAAATACAGACAGTAATTGGCCCAATTATAAATCACCTTGGAAGTGATTATGGAATTATCTGGATTATCTGCTTGACAGTTACCGTCCTCACAGAAGAATTCGTATCCTCCCTTAATTCTAGGTCTCCCTTAATTAATCAAGAGGCCTGAGGTAAATCACTCTTTAATGGCTGAGATGAAAAAAAGCCCTAATGGTACTAAACCCACATTGAAACATATGAGAGTAATTGTTAAAAAGTATACAGAAAAAGAGTTTTCAGGTGTCTACAAATGTCAAATATGAGTCAGAGTTGTCAATTATAAAACTTTTAAAATGATAATAATACAGCATATGATTTTTTGAGACATTATCTTTTAATTATGAAAGCAGTCATTTTAAAATGGCCTAGAACTAAGCCCAATTTCGAGACAGTTGACACTCTCATTAGGGAAATTACTCTTGGCTAAATGTATAGGCTATAGTTATCAGTGGGAACCATTCATTGAAGAAATTCAAGGACAACTAAGGGAGAATAGAAAGAAGGAAAGGAAGAATAGATTTATTTTAGGATAAATTATTATAAAATTACCTTGCAAAGTACATACAGCATGGGGGACTATGTATATATTAGTATGTCTATATATATGCACAAATGTTGTGTTTATATATGCAATAGAATGTCCCTAAAAGATACACAAGAGAGTGGAAATATCAGGCGCTTCTAAGAAAGGTGACTGGATGCCAGGGAGACAGGGGTAGGAAGAAAAGTTACTTTTCTCTGCACGCTTCTTGAATGCTGATCATTACATGTATTTCCAATTCAAA